TTATTACGAACTCTCGACAAGAGCATGGTTCGGCATGGTACTGCCAAATGCGCAGCGGTAAACTCGTCCATACGTCCCCTGCCTTCATCCAGTTTCATTACGGAATGCTCACAACCATATACCCCGCGTTTGTCTCCAAGCGTTCCGCCTTCGGAAACTAGCATCATCTGTGTTAGTAGGGTTGAAAGTTTAGAACAGATTGGGTATGCAGAAAGACCGAATAGTTTGAAAGACAAGGCATACTTCATGCAGAACTAGTCGAATACGTGCGCAAGCCGTCATAGTGACAGTCACAAATTGTAGCGATCAACAACCATTACCGGTCACCATCAAGAATTTCTAACTTCAGCAAGTTCGCTCCACGTTGCGATGTGTGCAACAAGCCGATTATAGCCAAGGAAGGAGAGAAGGAAGCGACACGATACCTAGCCATGGGCAGGTCATTCCATCCGGAATGCTTCAAATGCGAGGACTGTAGTAGCGTGTTATCCGCCGATGTAAGCAGTCAGATGCTCTGATTTCTTTTGGAAGACATACCTTCAAAATTTGTCATTTCAGGGCGGCGAGGCCGGTTGCTATCCACTGAATGAACGTCTATTGTGTAAAAACTGCCACATGAAAAAACTCAAGGCAGACAAGGAAAAGCAAAGCAACTAATCGTCTCCCTCACACGAAATTCCCTTTCCATCACTACTGACCCTTACTTACTACCCAAACGCCTATGGACGTCATTGCGCGTCCATGTGATTACTGATTGAAATTTCTAATATCTCCTGTACATCCTCCCGTTTACACACATAACTCATCTGAGAACCATCCTGTCTGTCCATAGGGGTTGCACGGGTATGGGTCACGGATGCTGGTTTCTACCCAACCCCTACCCATTCCACCTTTCCCCGTTCTTTCTCCTGTCCACGAGAGGGGTATGACGATCACGCTTCTGTGTTCGGTGTTGTATATTGCTTGAATGGTCTTATAGTACAGTACTAGAAGAGCAATTCACCCTTTCATGAGTTATGTTTCCCAGTATAATCGAGTATGGAAGCGCAAGCCGCGCATTAGCTCACTAATCATTCATTTTCACTCAAAAGCCCAGCTACATTAGTGTTCACACAACTTGTGTAAAGTGTATTGCACTTTATTCACAGAAGTGGCATTATAGACAGTGGCGAACGGCTCACATATGTCTACTAATAAATATCTGACAAAAATTTGCAATTTCAACGCAGTTCCAATCTTAATGACAAAGAGAAGCCGCGGCAAACAAAGCATCTCCGCTTGCGGTGTGGCGACAGTGCATCTTTCTATGTGAAGCTGTTATTTCCATAAACCTATTTCCGTATCCACCTGCTGGTAGAGGTAATACCCTCGGATATTTTGGCATGGCACAAAAGGCTGCTCGCCGATAGAAGTGAGAAGTAGATATTGTAAATAGTGTAGGAAGAAGCAAAGCGAAGCAAAACAAACTCCAACCTGCAGAGCGATGCATTGTTTTCCCTCATGACTCCCACATTGGGTGATTCAAGTCGGTACTGACTACAACAACGTGAATATTCCTGCTCTGACTGCCACAATGACTAGATGGACGGCAAAGGGTAGCGTCTGGTAGCAATCTGCGGGGACACGAAGGCGTGGAAGGAGACGGCGGAAACGAAATGTAGGAATGGGCGCATGGTTCGTAGATTCACTGCTCGTCGCAATTCACGCCTAGCCCATGTAATCCGTTCCTTCGTGGGCTTTCTGCTTCACTGGCAATGCAGAGTATTCCTACGTATTCAGCTTCGTTCTAAGTCGCCCCCCCGCATTCTGCGCCGAAGGAGAAGAAAATTCCGATTTTCACCTAACGTACCCCGACCCTAGTCCGATATCGTGCTCATTACGGACTGGCTTGAACGATTGCTCCCAGCCACCCTAGCGAGATACACGCACAAGTTGCTGCAATCAGATCAAGTTATAGTATTTGAGAGTTACATTGGTTATAAGAAATCACTGGATTGGTACCTCAAAAACAGTGTTTCCTACTTTGTAGACGCTGAGTTATCACTATTAATTCTATCTTTATTACATATAGCCTGTTTCCGAAAATCAGATGCTCGTCGAGTGCAGACCACACAACACAAATGACGAAAGCCCCACAAAATGTTTCTCGCCAATGAAATGGTCAACCGGTTGCAGTAGTCAGTAATTACAGCTATCATTTACCAACCATCTGTCACAGTGAATCGCTGGCTGCCACGATTCACTTGGAGACCGTCGTCGCTTGTGATTTGTGGTCTGCACTCCACGCGCATCTGGTTCTCGGCGGCAGAGGGTACATGGAGTTCTGCGAAGGACATACAGACTTACATACCAAGCAACCCACAAACTGACACGCCAAGGCAGTGGTTCATAAAACAATATCAAATGGTTCTTGACCTTCTCCATTACAAGTACTCTTCAAATGTTATTGTTATTTATTTCACCAAATACAAAAAAACATCACATGATACATTAATATGAAACTGTACGGAATTTTGCGTAACTAATTAGAACCTGAACGTGACTATGTGAACCGTAAAACACTCGGACAATAACACAGAACAATTAAGGCGTAACACTAAACGCACATCTACAGCATCGGGCGGTCATCCGAAACATTCAGACGCAAACGTACACGTGACACGGGACCAATACTGTTTAACCATTGACTCCAATGGTCTATGTGTGGTACAATGTGGCGGTATATATGTGCCGTGGACGTCAAAGGGTATAAACATGGGAGACCAGAAGGAGTAATTAGCAGGTAAAACGACACATGTAATACGATTATTGTCAAAAAGAGGTAACACACCGATGCAGAACATGACGGCAATAAACAGAGAAAAAAGGCACATAGGGCAATACATAAAAATTAATTGGAGTCTCACATTGCGCTTATGCGGTGACACTTGGGAATACAGGAAAGACAACGCAAACAGAATGCAGCACCAACTGACTGACCGATCAACCAGAAGGAAAAAAACACAAAAACAAAGTTGTGCGAGAAATAGAATAAGCTAAACATAAAGTATTTTGAGTACTAATTTCCTAGCGAACCGCTAAATTCTCTTGTCCTCCTACATAGATGAACGCTGTTGATGTTCGGTCTCCACCGAACCCTCAAACAGATCTGCGCCCAGTCAGCAAGTAATAAAAGGATAGGGACATAAGAGCAGCTTACCCTCCTAAGTGAGACATCTGCAGTCCCACTGCAAAACTTTAATATACAAATACGGTAAGAACAGCTGCGCCTTCTCGTGAGCTGTAGGCGCTACCAGCCTATGCTGGATAAGCTGTCCTTATTTCATTTCATAATAAAAGGTGCCAAGCCGAATAAGGCCATTCTGACTACTACCTATTCCTATCGGATGCCGAGTACCCCACCCAACATAGGCAATTACTGAATCTAGTTGCTAATTGGGGTAACCGCTCTACAACCTACAAACTTATACAATGTTCCTGTACGGCGACATCACTGCAGTCTGTAACAACGTCCAGAATTACTAAACGTAGCGTAAGAGCGGTCTATGCTCTTACACATTGTCACCGTTCACCTATCCAATCCTATTCCTATGTTTCGTCCGCATCGTCCACCACAGCGTCCGATTGATTTGAAGTTATCATGCCAGAGGCAAACATCGGCTACAAGTGCCTCAACTGCCAGAAGAGGAGAAGAAAAACAACCGAGCAGTGACCCAAGATCGAAGCAGCAAGAGAACGTGCTGTCCAACAAAAGCCTTCAAGTTCCAGCGAATATGAGTGGAGATCTGGGTAAACCATAATTAAGATTGCTGGTTACAAATGTGAAGACCAAACACTAAACTGCTCCGCAAGTTTTCCACGAAAGTTGTGAGCAGTCAAAGTTGGCAGGAAATGCAGCGTCAATCCAATTTATCGATATCAGCATCCCGACTTTCTCTAGCAGTTTGCCAATAGGGGGACACAGGTGATCAGTCACGTATGTTTATTTTCGAAATAGCGGTGATTTCGCGTTCGCCCCACAACTTACTAGCCTGCTGCATTTCTTGCCAACTTTGACCGCTCAAAACCTTTTAAAAATTCACGTAGCTCTTTGGTCTCCCTGTAACTTATATGCTTATCATTCTCGCACCTATCGACTTGCCCAGGTCGCCATCCCAAGTCATGGGAAGCTAAGAGCTTCTACGTACGTAATGCAGCAGCAAAGCATCTCAGGGATCGCCTAGGTTTACCTATAGAAAAGGAAATGGTGATTTTCCGTTCAACCACTTTACGTCTTCATACTACGTAGTAGACCTAAACACAGGGGTGAAACCATATTCTAGTTCCTGGTGTGGTCAAACCTGCATCGTTTGCTTTGTAGTTTCCTCCTCTGTCAATTTACGCAATAAGCTTTGCTCAGAATCTACGGTAACTATTGTACATCCTACATTCTTATGACTCTGTTAATCCGACATCCAATTGATACGAAACTATTATCCGTTATTTGTTGTCCTACATCCTATCAATAGTCTTGGGATATTTCAAATTATATCACTCGGGTCGGGGAAGCGACGCACCGGTGCATTCCGTGGACCGGTATGAGCGGGTTGTCGAGAAATCGTCTGTACAAGACTAACATCCGATGAAAATTCTCCGGCCTAAATTAAGAAAAACGACTGCACAAACCCACATAGATCTCAACAAAACACGAAACATACCTGCACATGGACAAAGCCGGACACAGAGAAAAAACACCAGACTGAACTAACAAAAACAGAGGGGTAATAAAGAGAACAGACCAGCACAAAAAAAAGGATGACCGCCCGATAGCCGCATAGAAAAAGGGTTAGTGCAAATTGTACTGACCATAAACGAGGCCGAATTATAACTGACACTATAAATAGTAGCGATATTTTGACCAATAACTCACTACTTCCGAACAGAGGCACGCCATAAAAAACCATCGGCATCAACCCTTTAAAAAACAACTCACCAGGAAAAAAATAAAATAGATCACTTCACGGAAAGTCCAAGACGAGGATAGAGAAATAGTACAAAACCGAGGAGGCAGTTATCCAACACAAGGTACGAAACAGCAGTTATTTAAAAGGCAACTCAGCAACTCAGTACTCTAGAATCAGTGATGAAATGCAAAATAGAGTTCACAAGTTCGGTCGCAGTAGCGGAGCTTTGGTTAAGCATTAAGGAAAGCATGCCAGATAGAATCGTAGAACCGAATTCCTTCAAGGAAAGGATTATTCATAAAATGTCATTGTAAAAACCTTTATGTTGAAATGTATAATGAATATGAAACTATAATATGCTCTGCATGATCCCAAATTTCGAGATACGCCCGCGATTTTTCTCCCGAACTACGAGAACACTCAAATGTTTACTAGTTCTGTGCAACATACATACACAATCTCCAAAAAAGCTAGTAGCCGCGCTTGAACAACATAATTGCTCCTTAAATTGAAAGCGCCTATGTGGCATTCTGATAGACAGATCCTCGTGAGGATGAAAAGGCCACTTATTATGAAGTGTTGTATTTTGGCTCCGTGATTTTTTTCTCACACCTGCGTCCACCGTAAGCTAGGAATGGGGTGAAAGAGTATGATTTAAGGGGAGGATACGACTCTCTGCTCTCCAGCCTGCTCTCGTCTGCACCCACGGTGACCACGTGTTTGGGTGTGAAAAAAGTCACTAAGCCTTCTAATTACAGGAATGAGCCTAAGGCAGTCGCGCCATTTTTGTAAGGTCAAACGATAGCGCACAACATGCTGATTCCTGCTTTAAAACGGCAGCGCTATGACCCATGACCAGATTACCTATTGCACCCCTTAATACCTACTTCAAAGAAATTTCAAATGCAATTCATGACGAATGAGGTCCCACCAGATTTTTGAGAGCAGGATCAAAAGTGTAGTAGTAGTACAATGTAGTTGTCATTGCCACGAATTCCTTGAGATGACGTATATCGCCACTCTCGTACAATCTGAAACAATTTTCCCATAGCGATAACTCAAATGCAAAATCGGGCTTTGCCCAACGAATTACTGCGAATCCAATGCTGACTGGTTTGTACCTTTATCTAAGCTATTTACTATGGGAAGCAATCAAAAAAGAATTACCGTCGAGCGCAATCTCGCAACTTTCCAATGTCCGTCCGGGCTTTCTGTGATGGATTTCCTTGGTCTAGTCTGAAAGTGTAAATGAAGATAAATCTCAAATCACTAGCTGTTGGAGATGTTGGATTCAATAAGTTATAACTGCTTCTGGAATAAACAGCTAGCTGTTTTGGGAAAATCCCGTCGCATTATTGAAAATTCATCAAGTATCACCAGAAACTTGAGGAAGGGGTCAGCTTGCAGAACCCATACAACAGAAGAATTCTAAATAATGGGAAACGAGCGCAAAATAAGGGGGATTGTTGAACTGTTTGGGAACCCAGGAGAACGCCACGACCAGTACTTCCCCCATAAGGCTTCTTCGCAGCAATAAATAGAAATAACAAAACTTTCCGCTGACTCAACTAAACAACTAACTTCTCAAACACTTTCGCAGCTAATCCGTTCCAGATCTCTGAAAATTCCATTAGAGCAAGTTCAGAAGCCGATTGAGATCTTTTTGTTGACGTATTCTCCCTCTGTTCTATCAAAAGCAACTCATCATGACGAGCTGAAGTACTGAAAACAGTATTGCTTACACAACCGAGAAGAAAAATTAGCACAGAGTAATGACAAAAATCGCACCTGGGAGACTTTACAGGAGTATCACGGGCAGGTTGAACACGAGAACAGTCAGTCTCACACCTCGGATCTTTATTTGAAGACCGCTTTTTGCCCCTCTTTCGTTTTCTATAAGGAGGAGCAGCAATATCCTTCCTTTCGGGAGTGCTCTTAGTGGGATAACGCCTCTTACACTGACTACAGACTTGGCTTTCTAGCTCGTCATGACCACTGTAAGTATAGTAGCGATTGTATTCGAATCTAGGGCTTCTGCAGGGACTCTGCGGTTGACGAGACAACGCTTTAGACGAGTAAATGCTGTGACGATTTCGCGAGGCTTCTTCGAAGTGCCGAGAGGCAGCTGTAGCTCGTGAGGGACTTTCGCCTCCAAGATATGACTTCTCATATGGTTTTCTCACTCCTTGCTCTTGGCGAAGATCCAGTCCGCTTTGAGACTGACTTTTCTCCTTCGGTCTGTGCTCTCTAGCGGTAGCACTGTCAGGAACGGATGCAACATAATACTGACTTCTCTTTGCTTCTTTATAATTACGGTTCTGAATATCCAACAAGGCAGAAGAATGCTCCTCCTTCAAGCTTCGTGAGCTCTCCACCGATTTTTCAATCTTCTTAGTGCTCAATTGCAAACTATCCTTAATAATTGACTCTCCCGGAGGATTCGCTAGAGTATGAGCAACAGGAGATATTGTTACTCTATTTTTTGCGTGTGGTTTCGATTCCGTCTCCCTACAATGAAGATGATTTCGTTTTCCTATTCAAATCAAGCAGTTAGCCTTACCTGCTTAGTTGAGATGGTTTTGGTTCATTATTTTGCGAATGTGATGGCTCAGATGAATTGCCTTGATTTGCAGTCTGTTCAGGTGTAGGATCGACATCCATTGGTTCCTCTGGATCTTCCGGGATTCTTGACTGATCCATAAGTTTGCAATAATTCTGTAATAACCCTGTTCGACATGACGAAATCGCGCGACGAACAACAGCGACCAATTGTAAGATTCTCGCCCCATCATCATACCGAAACAAGGAACATGCAAAAAGCTGCTCTCCTTAGATAATCAAGATCGTGTGGCCAAACAAGCTCTGAACGCACCTCAGATGACATACATTTCACCGAGTGAGCAGCCGCTTTTAGAAGCAAGTTGCAGTCATCGGTCACGAATAGGACCTTGTCAGCATGGCGACAATCAGGTGGCACTGAATGACCATAGCTACTCGAAATAGATAGTCCTCCCCAAAGAGCGTGCAAAAGATGATAAACAAAGCAACTTACATGCGGTCTGGATTCTGTAAGCGCATCTCAATATGCGCTCATCGTTGTTGCTTGCTAGAATTCCATCTACATCATGCCTAGACTGAAATTGGAAAGATTTAGCTTTATAATTCGAAATCATTTGTAATAACTATGACTTGTTCCTTTATAATAGAAAACGCGCACTGGCGATGAATAGGATGAGCTCTCACGACCTAATTGTAAAGGGTTTCGAAACCAGGGTTTTGTTCGTTACCTTCCCAAAGCCTAGGCCCAGTGACCATAGATTTACGCCTAGTAAGGACCACACTTAAAAACATTCCACCTCTACTTAGGCAAAGACTGGATGGGCATTTCTTAACTGTGTACCTACACAAAATAAAAGGCAATGCAGAGTATGGATTGATGTAACAGAACGAGTATACTAAATGCATTACGTCACTGGAAGTCCTCCAACTCAACATATCTGCTTGAAAACAATTGACGAAGGACGACGCATTGCTATTCGAGCTCTCTGAATACAAAGTAATCTGCAAAATGGTTACATAGCCCATCATTACTACAGGAGGGAGACTTACTGCACGCAACAGTTCGTTGTCATTATACTTATTTAACTTATCCAGTTCTTTTAATACCGGGAACGGAATCATCACAAGGATGTGATCTGAAAACAAGTTCGCCTAAACACACACAAAATTTAGTTCATCAAGAGAAAAATGTTTAGTTCACAAAGAGAAAAATGTAGGTCTTCTTCGTAGTTGTGTTCGTATCCCGCACCTAAGCGATAGATACTGTAAAATATTTGACCGCGATTTGCACTGCAGTGACTCGTAACTACATTCAGAGATAATGTTGTGTTGAAGATTCTAGCCAATGTGGGGATGGAGAGGTCGCGCTCGCCTAACCTCAAAAAAGGCCCTAGCTAGCTTTGGAGGGTGTTGCAAACATTCCTTGGAATTTTAGATTTTCAAAGAAACTGAAAATTTCACCTCTTAACTGCTGTAGATGTACACTTCATAGAACTTCCTGGACAAAAATTTTTGGGGATAGAAAGGAAGAAAAAGTGTTGGGACGAGAGGTAAGCTTGTGCTAGGCTACTTTCAGACTTTGTGCCAAACGCGCGATTCGCCAGCCGCGGGTATTGAGCGGAGGGCAGGTGCCGCCACGTGAGTTCACACCATTTTCGCCTCATGCTGCGCCGCCATTTTAACACGTTGACGACAACGCGCGTTTTGGGTTTTTGCGCCGCGTGGGACCACGGCGATTTTGCAGGCGCCGCCGCCTCACATCAAATCCGTGAATTTTGAGCTTTAAATACCCAAAACTCGGATGCAACAAAATGTTTAGAATGATATTCGATGTGTCAAACTTATCAGAAGGGACAACTGTAAAAAATCGATCGAATTGACGTTTTCTGGCGATGAAAGGCAAGTTTCAGTTGCTTTTGCTGCAGTGAACCTCAGAATTATTTTTGACGCGGTTGCTCTCTAAAAACATATGTCTTGCATATATGTGTGGTCGCAGCTCTACTTCCTACTCGATAATTTTTTATGAACCAAGATTATCAGAATATATAAAGGAAACTAGGAATGAACACAATTGGGAAATTCGTAGGCTTAGAAAACCTTCGCTAAAAAAGGAGCATCTTTCAATCATTCAATGAACCTCGCCGTGTCTAGTCATATTGTGGTTAGTCTATGGAATAGATGCAAAAAAAATTTAAAAGAAGTAGCGCATACGCGAAAAAAATTAAATATTTTGTGTCCCGCTCCCACACGGTGCTCAAGGTGTGATGCGCATGCGCTGCACAATGTCGTCAACGTGTTAAACCTCTTCTTTTTCTTGTTTTTCACTGCTTCATTCGCTTTATCAACTTGAGCCAAAACATAATCCTTGTAGCATCGCCCAGAATCACACCCAACATAAATCACCACGTAAGGAAGATAGATCATTTGGCGGCGATGTGATAATTAGGAGGTGACTTCATGGTGGCCACATTTACTGATATCTGACTCGTTCTAATCGGTACTTTTGAGTCACTATTCTTTTCGTCTACTGAATATACACAGCATCGTTGAAATCAAGTGCTAATGATATCACAACCTCGGTGAAATTCGCAACCAACAGAAATGAGGCGCTCTCTATTGCTCTCTCCCTGCTTACAGTAGCATTAAATTTTAATATCTATTTCATCTCCAAATCGGCAGTGCCAGTATTGGTTGCGGGTTTGCGCTGCGGCCGCATTGCTTCGCAAGACCACATTTGGCACAACGCTGAGAACGCATTTGGAAGGGATTTGCGATACCATGTATAATATAATCGGAAGGACAGAAAGCGACTTTTTCGCCATTCGCTGTGCGATACATTTTTCGCAGCAGGAACCTCAGGTCCACCGCTGATCATGAGTGAACCACACCCTGTATGATCCAGCCTTCTGTTCTTTTGAGATGCTACGAACTTCAAAAATCGTGGTAAAATGAATAAAGCCAATCTAACAACAACTCATTTGTCGCCCCCCCCCCCCCGTATCAAAAATACTTCGAGAAAATGCATACTTCTTACACTCAAATCCATGACGTCGGGCGTGTTCACAATTGCACACGTATCAAAAATAGTACACCCTCGAATCTCGGAAACATGAAGAGGTGGACGGTAGACAAAGAAATCCTGCAAATCGCAAAAGTTTATTAAAGACCCTTCTTTTTGCAAAATAATAGTGATGCGATGTGAAGGCAGCTGCAAAGATCAGATGCACCAACTACCCGCAGCTTCGCGACCGCCGGAAGACGAAGACACGGCCACGGGAATGCGTTGTATGCAAAATAAACAGACTTACGACGATCGCAAAATTATTAAATTCTTGACACTGACTGAAAAGACTGACTGAGCTGACCTGTGCCTGGATCTTGCCATCTACAGGATTAGACCGCACTTCACGAAAGTCATTAAGAAACATTGGAGCAGATGGCTGAGCTGAGGACACTTCCAGGTTACTTTGAGTTGCTGCCATGGACTGCATGTTTTCTCATTTAAACTGTAATCAGTATTTCATACTACATAGAAAACTAAAAGAAAAATGCTAAGAAAAACATCCTTTCTCGAAGGGAATCAACTCTAGTACACTTAGAAGTTTTTGAGAGCCCATCAACAAGCAAGAGCACATCTACCATCGCACGACTTAGCGTATCATGAAAGAGAATCTGTGGACAGGAATGACGAGAACAACGCATGGTGCAAAGTGGGGGGGGGGGTAGGCGTAGTTCTCTAGGGCAGATTCCGCTTGATTGGTTGCGTGAAACTACAATAAGTAGGTTTCGTCATAGGGTATCGGAAATGAAAGCGACTTTTTCGCTCTGTCAGGTCCGCTGATGATAAGCGACGGACCTGAGACCACGCGGCGGCTCGGCGTCTCAAGCGCGCATGGCACTAAGCCACGGGTTGACGGACTACTTGAACTCACCCCTCTAAACCGCCTCCGCTCTCTCGCGGTCCCTCTCTCCAAGGCTTAGCCCTTGGGTATTCACCCGTTCTCTAGTCATCTGTGCT